CCCCCCCCCCCCGGTTTTTTCACAATAATCAAGTTGAGAACACTCAGATTGTCATCTATAATATTACAGACTTACATTCCCTCCCTCCAGTTCTCTTCGTCTATAACAAAGATGCACCTGACTCAACAGCAGGCACACTCTGTGTGGGTCAAGACACCTTAGTTCTTGAGGAAACCTTTTGTGTTGTTCCCCCCCACACACACACACGCGGACCACGTGACCTTTCCACTCTTCACCCAGAGCATCAGCAGCTACTTCTGTAGCCATGTGTTTAGTACAGGGCTTACAGTCATCATCCACTTCAATGAGTTCCTGACAGCTGGCAGCTGGAAATCTTAACAGGGCTCATCACCTAGGAGGTGCCATGAAAAAGAGCTGATTCCCATTTTTACCGGGTTCTTCCATCTGTTTTGTGGAGAATAAAGGCTATAACGAGTGAAGGGGAGTGCAGGAAAACCAATGAGGCTCTGTGATCAGGAGTCAAATCTTAAAGATTTTTTCGTTTTGTTTTGTTTTTAAAGGAAAGAGTTACTTTGACTCCCTGTTGGAGTAGACACAGTCTGTGGTGCTGGGGAAAGTGTGACAGCAAGAGTTTGAGGCTAAGACAACTAGTTACATTGTGTCTAAAGAGAGGTGACTGCTGATGCTCCCTAGTGAATTTAAGAAGCCAGGTGGGGGCTGGGCAAGGTGGCCTTTAATCCCAGCCCTTGAGAGGCAGAGGCAGGCAAATCTCTGTGAGTTTAAGGCTAGCCTGGTCTACAAAGTAAGTTCTAAGACAGTCAGGGCTGTTTCACGGGGAAGCCTTGTCTCAAAATAAAAAACAAAACACACACACACACAAAACAAGGTAGCCAAGACCTGCAGGGGAGTGTTTGAATGTAGGGGAGCACGGAACAGACTAGGTGATTTCCATTCCTACTCTCAGTGGTGGTGGGGGGGGACCACTCAGCATCTCCTAGGTCACTAAGAGGAGGAAGTGTCCAAGGTTCTGGCAGGAGGGAATGTGAATGTTCAGAATGTGAAGACCCAGGAACCTTCATACAACTCTCCCTTTGTCTGCTACCATGCTCCCTACACCCACCCCTCTCTCCTCTTCCTCCCTTCCATCCTTCCCTCTGCAGCTACACACACACACACACACACACACACACACACACACACACACACAGGCTCTGGGGGGGCCTTATCAGGAGGAAGGCAGATGGAGGAACTGTTGTTTCTGTGTCGTGTCAGAAGCTCCCTGCCTTCCACATTCCTCCCTGCTTACTGCGGAGCTCCTCCCCAAACCCACGGTTCACAATGGGAGGCCAATTTGTCTCCCTGGGACCTCTGGCAATTTCTAGAAACATTCGTAGTTGTCATATTGAGAAGCAATCGGTCTGGCACGAAATAGGGCTGTGGGCATCAAGCCTGCACTGGGCGGGCCCTCAGGACACAGAATGTCAACAATGCTGAGGCTGAGACCCAGCCCCGGGCTCTGCTGTCACAGCTGGCAGAGGCTGTGTTCCCAGAGGTTCTGCTGCCAGCATGTAGCCATTTCTCAATGGGAGCTGCGTGTCCATGCTGTCTTTCCATGTGAAGTAGGCAGAAGTATTCTCCCTAAGGTCCCCCCAGACAGGGAGAGGGCTGGAGCCTGGGTTTGTAAAGTCCGTGCTTTAGCTGGCCTCTCTCTAGTGAAACGGCTTTTGTGGCTTGTGTCACTGCTCTTAGTGAAGGGACATGCTGTGTCAAGCTATGTGTGTCTTCCTGGCGAGTGCAGTGTGCATAGAAGATAAGAACTGCCTGGGCTGAGGCAGTGTGGGCAGACCTCTGAGATCATCCGTGTGCTCTGGCAGGGCCATTCCACAGGGCTGCATAATGGAACACAGCACAGGGCTAGGGGATGCCACTCCTACAGGCTACCTTGTGGGGCTAGTTAAGGATTAGGATGGGGGAAGCATCAGGTTTTGTCTTGGGAGTGAACACATATTGCTTAGCACAAGTCTCGTTTGCTTTCTGTTGCTGGGATAAAGACACTGACCGAAAGCATCTCTGGAGAGGATGCTTCCAGGGTATAGCTCAAGAGAAGCTGAGGCAGGAACCGAAGCAGAGACCGTGATGGAATGCTGCTGCTTCCTGGCTTGTTCTTCATGGCTCACTCAGCCTGGTCCTCCTGCCGAGGGGTGGTACTGTCCTCAGTGGGCCTAGTATGACACATCTATCATTAATCAATACCACAAGCAGGAGGCCAGCCCAAGGGACTTCTTCATAGCTGTTCTGTTCTAAGGAGGAGGAAAAAGAGGAAAATGAGGAGAAGAAGAAATGACCCATTTGAGCCTCCTGAAGCGTGTATCATCACCAGCCTAACTAAAAAAGAATTAAAAGTAACATGAGAAAGGATCGCTATGGGGCTTTTAGATGGAGAGGTAGCCAGGCTAGCAAACATACTGAGACAGGCCTGGGACCAGGGGGAGGCGCTCTGTCTCTCATGTCTTTGTCTGGACTTCAGAATTCTGCGTATTTGTTCATTCTGTCCACACATACTCAAGCCTACTACGCGCCTAATTGCACTGGGCCTGAACAGCATCCTGCTGGTGTTCCAGCCAGTAGCATCCTAGGTGAGAAAGAGGCCCAGCTGGGGCAACAAGAAAGCATGGGGATTTTTGATGGGACTCAGAAGCCTTGTTGGTGTTGCCATAGCCACCCTCTGCACTCAGACTGTCTTTCAGACAGGCAGTGGTGGGGCTCACCTTTAATCCCAGCACTTGGGAGGCAGAGAGAGACAGATCTCTGTGAGCTCGAGGCCAGCCTGGTCTACAGAGCTGTTTCTAGGAAAGCTAGGGCTCTTACACAGAGAAACTCTGTTTCGAGAAAACCAAACAAACAAACAGATTTTCAGCAGAATTGGAGCCCATAAGCCATGTCTGGCCTTATTATGTGTGATTGTCACCCGAGTTTCAGCCCAGGACTGATTCTCCATCCCCATAGGTGCCCTGCCGTCTCGGCTGAAGGCACATTATAAGGCAAAATGCCTATTGGATGACTCTGTGCCAAGGTTTGCTCTGCCAGGGAGAGAACAGAGGCAGGGGACATCAGATTGTGTGTTAAGCACAATGATAGTTACATACAGAAGTGTGCCAGATGTGGCAGATTCCTGGAGAACTGCTGGGGGAGGGAAGAGAAATAGTGGGTACCGGATAGTTCTAGGGATGGGATGAGTGCTGTGAACATAGCAAAATGGAAGTGGCCTAGGAGGGCAGGTAGGGGTGGCCAGGAAAACCTGGCCGGGAAGGTATCTGGAGCTATTATCCATATGAAGTCCTGCAAAAAATACAAGGAGTCAAAAGTGAAGAGAGGGGATCTGGCTCCCTGGGGAGTTAGAGGGACAGAAAGGAAACCACTGAGGCTGAGCAAAAGAAATGAGAGTAGGGGTATAGGGCAAGAGACAGGCCAGGTGTAGGTGGCACAATGTCTCAAGGTTTATTTTTGAGTTTGATTTCAAATCAGCTAGGAAGAGCTGGACTCAGTGGTGTTATGTCTGCAACCTCAGTTCTTGGGAGGCTGAGGTCATCTTGGGTGCCCTAGCTTGCTTTCTGTTATTGTGAAAAAAAAAAAAAAAACACTGACCAACTTGGGGGAGAAGAAGGACTTATTTCATCTTGCAGCTTGCAGTCTGCCTTGAAGGGAAGTCAGGGTAGGGACTTGAGAGAAGAGCCCGGAAAAAGAAATGGAAGCACAACCACAAAGGAACCTTGCTTACTGTCTTGTTCCCCCTCCCCGTCCCCCCTTCCCGCAATCTAGTACCACCTGGCCACAGGCGGCGCCACCCACAGTGCATTGGGCTTCTTCCACATCAAACATTAATCAAGAAAAGGCCCCTACAAACTTGACTGCAAGCTAATCTGATGGAGGGTGTTTTCTCAGTTGAGGTCTCTTCTCGGGTGACTCTAGTTTTGCGTCAAGATGATGAAACATTAACCAGGAGGTTGGGCTACACAGCGAGTTCAGAGTCGGCACTACAACGCTAAGACCCTTATCTCAAAACAAAGCAAAAAACAAACCGGGGCTGGGAGGGCTGAAGGGATGAGAATGCTTGCTGTTTTTCCAGGGGATCTGAGTTAAGGTCTCAGCACTCACATTGGGCAACTGGTACTCACCTGGATAACTCTCCTTCCAAAGGATCCCCACACTTTCCTGGCATCCACGGGCTCCTAAACAAATGTAGTGCACATAAACACATGCAGGTACACACACATACATATAAATACCAATTTTATGTTGTTTCTGAGACAGGGTCTTGCTATTTCAGCTCTAGTTGTCCTGGAACTTGCTATGTAGATCAGGCTAGCCTTAAACTCAGAACTGTACTTGCCTCTACCTCCAGAGTGCTGGCATTAAAGGCATGTGCCACCACACCCAGCTAAAAATAAATTAAAAAAAAAAACCCAGTATGTATTTTTAAACCTAGGAAAACCTGCATGATTTGAGGCAGTGGTGTGCAATGGTCCAGCTTCTTTTCAATTTGATACAAGAAATGGAATTCTCAAGCATATTGAGCACACATTACCAACAAACTACACCTCTGCCCTGACTTAGGATATTCTGATTTAGAATATCAAAATAAAGCCAGGTGGTGATGGCACAGGCCTTTAATCCCAGCATTTGGGAGGCAGAGGCAGGTTAATCTCTGTGAGTTTGTGGTCAGCCTGGTCTACAGAGTAAGTTCCAGGACAGCCAGGGTTAACATAGAGAAAACCTGTCTCAAAAAAGTGAAAAGACAAAACACACACACAAAAAATTAAGGGCTGGAGAGGTGGCTCAGAGGGTAAGAGCACTGGCTGCTCTTGCAGAGGTCCTGAGTTCAATTCCCAGCAACCACATGGTAGCTCACAACCATCTGTAATGAGACCTGGTGCCTTCCATGCCAGCAGTACATTGTATGCTTAATAAATAATTAAATATAAAAAAATTAAAAAGAAAGGAAGGAAGAAAGAAAAAAATCAGAATACCTGGGGATAAAATACCAAACTGCTTGCCAGAGAACTTGCTTAAAATGTACGAGCTCCATCCCTGGCTCTGCCAAAAGCTGGCCTGGGTCTGAAAAAGCCTGGGTTAAAACCGGTCTCGCTGAACATAGCGAACAATGAGGACTACTGAGACCTCAAGAACAATGGCAATGGGTTTTTGATCCTACTGCACCTATTGGTTTTGTGGGAGCCTAGGCAGTTTGGATGCTCACCTTACTAGACCTGGATGGAGGTGGGTGGTCCTCGGACTTCCCACAGGGCAGGGAACCCTGATTGCTCTTTGGGCTGATGAGGGAGGGAGACTTGATTGGGGNAAATAAATAAATAAATAAATAAATAAATAAGGTGGTACAGGGGAGAGGGGTGGGTGCCGGAGAGATGGTTCAGTGACTATTTTAAAAATCTAAAAAGAGAAAATACCAACAAATTAAAAACCCTTTGTTCTGATCTCAATTTCTTCCCTATAAAATGGGGTTACATCATTTTCTCCCCTTCAGTTACCTAAGACAGGGTTTCTCTATATAACAGTTCTAACTGTCCTGAAACTCGCTTTGTAGATCAGGCTGGCCTCAGACTCAAAGAGATCTGCCTGCCTCTGTCTCCCAAGTGCTCGGATTAAAGGCATGTGCCACCACTGCCCGGCTGGGACTATATCATTTTTAATCTCATTTACCTAAGATGACTGAGGTAGTGCATAATAGGAACTAACACAAGTAGCTGTCTCATCATAAGGGCTTAAGAAATAGGCCCAGCCTGGTGTGGTAGTGCCTGTCTGTAATCCCAGCACTCAGAAAGCAGAAGCAGGTGTGTCAGGAGCCGTTTCCCCCAAAAATTATTGCAGGAACCATTGTCCTATGGAATTTGCAGAGAACCCCACTTCCCAACTGTATTGAGAATTGTTTTATTGGCAGAGCCTATCCCACACCCAATTATCTGTTAATAGAGAGCTTTCTGTTAGGGGAACCCGCCCCACACTCCAATTATCTAGAGAACTAGGAGTGTCAACTTGCGACTTCCTGACCGAGGAATCGTAACCTCCTGGCCAAGGACCTCGCCATTGGCTGGAACCACCGCTGCAAGATTTTTTCCTGCCCATGCCCCTGCCCCCCAAATTCCTCATCCTATATAAGCTGTAACCATGACTCTAATAAACGGAGGCTTCGACAAATCTAGCATGGCCTTCTTCCTCTCTCCCACCCATGTCTTTCAGATAGTGCCTCTCTGGGACCCTGGAATAACTGACCAGCCAGGCGGGTTACAATCCCTAGACTCACTGACCCGCCAGGCGGTCTACACAGGTGGACTGCCATCAAATCAAGGTCAGCCTAGACTGCATAGCAAGATCCTATCTTGAAAAACCAAAACAGAAAAAAAGCAAAAGGAAAAGAAAAGGGATAAAGGCGGGGCCTAGGTCACCATGCTATGCCCCAAGTTTCCAGGTTCTGCTGGGGATAGACACAGCAACAACCAGCAACAAAATAGCAATGTATGTACATAGCAACAAAATAGCATGTATATACACCAGCAACAAAATAGCATTGTATGTACACAGCAACAATCAGTAACAAAACAGCACTGTAAGGCTGGAGAGATGGCTCAGTGGTTAAGAGCACTGTCTGTTTTTCCAGAGATCCTGAGTTCTATTCCCAGCAACCACATGGTGGCTCCAAACCATCTGTAAAGCGATCTGGACCATCTGTAAAAAGATCTGGTGCCCTCCTCTGGTGTGTGGGTATAAATGGAGGCAGAAAGTTGTATACATAATAAATAAATCTTTAAAAAAAAAAGAACAAATAACCAAAAGAGAAAATAAAAAAAAGAAAATCCTTAAAAAAAAAAAAGAAAAACAAAGAAACAGCATTGTATATACACCAGTAACAAAATAGCAATGTATGTACATAGCAACAAAATAACATTGTATATACACCAGCAACAAAACAGCATTGTGTACCCAACCCACTTGTTGCTGACTGCATCCATCCCCTTATACCTGTGGGATAGCAGCAGCCTCTTTGGAAGGTGTTTTTACTTTCTGTTTATTTACTTATTTTTGTTTGTTTGCTTGTTTATATGAGAGAGTCTCACACACCCAGGCTGGCTTCAAATTCCCTAAGTAGCAGACGACTTTGAACTCCTGATCTTCCTTCATCCCTTGGTGCCGGCATTACAGGCAGGTGCCACCATCACCTTGTTGTCAGCCAGCTAGTTGTTAGCAACTTGTAGATAAAGAGCTCCAGGAAGGCTAAGAGACCGGTCCTACAGTCCATAGCACAAAGTCAGGTTCCTGTTTTAATACAACCTGGTAGCTAGGAGTGGTTTTTAAGGTTTTAGACGGATGGGAAATAAAAAAGTAAAATTTCTCGTCCTTTTTTTTTTTTAAGATTTATTCATTAATTATTCTGCTTACATGTGTCCCACCAGGCCAGAAGAGGGCACCAGATGGTTGGGAGCCACCATGTGGTTGCTGGAATTGAACTCAGAACCTCTGGAAGAGCAGTCAGTGCTCTTAACCTCTGAGCCATCTCTCCAGCCCCCTCCCCCCCCTTTAAGTAAATTTCTTGACCCTTGGGCATTTTAGGAATCAGATGGCATTGCCAGGTGTGGTGGAGCTCACTGTAATCTCAGCATTTATGAAGTGGAGTCAGAGCCAAGCGTGGTGGCCTACGCCTTTAATCCCAGCACTGGGCAGGAGAGGCAGGCAGATCTCTGTGAATTCAAGACCAGTCTGGTCTACAAAGTAAGTTCCAGGACAGCTAGGGCAGTTACCCAGAGGAACTTGGGGAACTTGTTTTGAAAAACAAGAAGAAGAAAAAAAGACTAAGTGGTGGCAGCATTAGGAGTTAAAGGTCAGCCTTGGCTATATGGGACCTGCCTCAAAAAGTCTAAATTAAGGGGGCTCTGTGTTGGGGGCTGGAGAAGAAGGCTCAGTGGTTAAGAGCACTGTTTATTCTTCCAGAGGACACTGGTTCAATTCCCAAGACCCATATGGCTGCTAACAACTGTCTGTAACTCCAGTTCCAGGGGATTCTACACCCTCTTCTGGCCTCTGTGGGCACTGCATGTATATGATATATGGATACCATGCGGGCAAAGCACCCACATAGATAAAATGATTTTTTTTTTTAAATTAAGGTGCCAGAGAGATGGCTCAGCAGTTAAAAGCACTTGTTCTTGCAGAGAACCCAGGTTCAGTTCCACATATCACATGGTGGCTCACAACCATCTGAATCTCCAGTTCCAGAGGATTCGACGATACCCTCTGCTGACTTACATGGGCACCAGGCACTCATGTGGTACACATACAGACAGACAGACAGGCAGGCAGGCAAACAAAACACTCACACATAAAATAAATCTAAGAAGCAATTTTAAGTCACAATTAAAAGTATTTAGATTCAGCTTCCGTAGACAAAGTATTGTGGGAATACAGTCACACTTATTCATTTATACTTTACCCAGCCACTTTTGTAATGGCAGAGTCGACTCAGCACGAAGAGACCATGAACAACAAGTAAAGCTCAAAACATTTCTTCTCCAGCCCCTGAAAGCGAAAGGATAAGTGAGGACTGAATGAAAAAGAAATAAAAAAGACAGAACAACGTGACTGCTCCTAGGTATGGTGTAGGAGAATGTTTTTTGTAGATAAAAGAGGGAGCATAGCCAGAGGCAGGGACAGCTGGGAGAATCCAGAGTATATCAGACTGAGATGGGTCCTGTTGTGGGGAGAGAGGGGAGGAGGAGAACCAAACTAAAAGGCCAGGACTGGGAACGAAAAGGCCAAGTAACAAAAATGGCTGGGTTATATAGGGAAGGGCTGCTGCAGTCCTTGGGCTGGAGAAGTTTGGGGTAGGGGACAGTGTATGCCAGCCATACCCTCTAACAGGTAAAGACTGAAGGATGCTGGGGTAACCTGGCAGCAAGGTCCGCTTTGGTATGCTAATGGGCACCTCAGTTAGCCATTTGTCCTGAGATTGAAACCTAACAAGGATGTTGTCTGAGATGACCCAGTTTCCAGAAGAGACTCTGGAGGAGAGAAGTCGCTAAGGCAGACCAGGAAAGACACCATGGGATTGGTTCAAATAGGACGGACCTTCAGAAAAGCAAGCGCGGTTCAACCCCCTCCCATTAAATAAGAACAGCTAAGGCTGCAGTATGCCAGGGACCACACAGAAGGTGGCAGACAGCAAGCTCTAGATGCTGTCTTCCCTCTAGCTGGGGAGACAGACAAACTGGGGGACCTAACCTGGGAGTCATAATGTGCAGTCCGCTATGCCTCACACCCCAGCAGCCTCTTTTGTTCAGCTGTGATTTCTCCACGAGAAAGGGGAGGTGCCTGCAAAAGCTGCCTCCCTGTCTTTCATCTTAGCTCTTGGCACAGCACCCACTGTGACTCTGGAGCTAAGTCGTTGGCTTCCCCAGTCAGCTTGTTACCTGGGCTCAGAGATTTCAAAGACTCCCCCTCCCTGCGCTCCGTCCCTTCAAAAAAACGCAAAAGACACACTCTGCTTCTCAAGGACTCTGAGGCAACATTTATCTGCTTTGGGAAGATAAAGAAAATCCCCGAAACAGCCGGAGAGCAGCCCAGAACAGTCTGTGGCTGCTTTCCTCACCTCCTTTCTGGCCTCCCACCTGCTGGGATCCAGCAGAATCCAGACAGCTTCCTGGTGGAATGAATGGAGGGTGCTACCCTGGAGGAATTTTGGAGCCTGGGGAGACGTTGGAAATAATCGGAAAAGCCCAAATCCTGGCTCTCTTGTTTGTAATCCCCACACTCAAGGAGTCAGAGATGCAACAAGCAAAATCGGCCTGGTCTACATTCTGAATTCCTGGTTATCCAGTAGGACATTGTTCCAGAATAAAACAGAACAAAACCAGAATTGTTTTTAAGGGAGTGGCTGGGAACTGATCCCCACAAAGTTCTCACGTTACTCAGCACCCCCAGATAGATCTGTATCCTGGATCCACCCTCACAAACTATCCTTGTAGGGTGTCCTTGGGAGCTCACCTTTAATCCCAGCACTCGGAAGGCAGAGAGGCAGAGACAGGCAGATCTCTGTGAGTCTGAGGCCAGCCTAATCTACAAAGCAAGTTTCTAGACAGGATCCAAAACTACAGAGAAATCTTGTCTTGGGGGGAAAAAAAGAAGAAACCCTAACTAAGCTTAGAGTAGGTAACTGTTAGTCAAGAAGCCTTTTGATGGCAGGAGGCTGGCTGGACTGGCAGCTGAATGTTTTGGTCACTTTTTTTTTTTAATTTATTATTTATACAGTATTCTGTCTGCTTGTTTGCCTGCAGGCCAGAAGAGGGCACCAGAC